CCTGTGGCTGGGGCAGCCCCTTTGTCCCCTCGGGCTTCCTGCAACCTCCTTCTGCCCTCCAAGCACTCCACCCAGACTTTGCTCTCAGTTAGATGTCTTATTCAGAGCACAACAGGGAGGGCCTCGTGGTTCAACTGTACCAGCAGCGGTCGGTGCTGTACCAGTGCCAGCGATTCTGCGAGGAGAAGCTCAGCTGTGTGCCAGCGGCAGGACAGCTCAGCTTGATCACTTTGGCTTGACTAATGTCAGCTTAGTTAAAGAGTCTTTCCTGCAAAGTGCTGAAAATCTGAAAACCCTTTAGTTAGGGATTGGTCAGGAATACAGAGAATTTCTGTCATCTAGTGTAACACACTTGTACGTCTTCGGTCTGTGTCTGCGTGCACGTTCACTCATTCCTGACTGTGAGCGTGTGTACTAAGCTAGTTTCCAAATCTAAGAAGCTTTAGACAGAAACTGTCCATTCATGTTTTGGAAAGCTCATCATTTTGTTATCAGAGCTCAGGATAAGTAGCTCAGAGCTACAGCCAGTGGAAAGATTTTCAGAAATCTCTCGCTTTGTTTCCATCAAACCAATGGGCTTAGTTAGAAACTGATAGTGGCCCCGTTCTCTTTTCATACCTTCCCAGCTCAGAGAACTGCATTTTAATAGCAGGGAAGGTCCCAGAGCTCACAGGAGGGAAAGACCAGCTCCTGAGCTACACACACCATTGCTGCTCTGTGGGTTCTGGTCCTGCTGGTGCCTCGGACGGGAGGCGGACCGTGCACTGCCGCCACGGGACAAAGCGCCTGGCTGTGCCGGGCCGTTCCTGCTGCCACCCGCCTGCTCGTCTGTGTGGTCAAAACAGCCTGTGTTCCTGCTCGTAAAACACGTCCTGTTTTGGAAACTTAAACGATCTCCCTGACCCGACAGTGAGGGAATGGGTCCCAGAGAGACATGGGGAAAAAAGCTAACAGGAAACAAACATTCCCATCGAGGCAGGGAGCGGCCAGAGTGGGAGTCCTGATGCCGGAGCCGTGGCTCTGCCTGCCTCCCTGGAGTCTCCTTCCCCCTCCCGCTCCTGCACCCCGGCTTACTTGGCAAAGTTGGCGAGGTTCTGGGTGACCTTGGCAATGAGGGTCAAAGTGCGTGCAGTGCGGTCATCCGGGTACTCCTGCAGGAGGCTGAAGAGGGACGGGGACATGATGGCCGGACAGAGGAACCGGAGGAATAGGGAGGCACTGATCAGTCGCTCACTGATGTCTGGGCGGCCTCGGTTGCTGCATTCTTGTCTCCATGAGGCAAAAACTTCTTTGAGCTCCCTTGGGAAGACACTGAAACGGCAGAAGGACACGCAGGGATGGCAAGCTCAAGGCCAGGGTGTTCAAACCGCCGCACAGCAGTAAGTAAACACGGTGCGTACCAGCGGCGGGGCACAACACCCAGACCTGCGCCACGGTAGAGCCCTCTCACCCTGCTGATCCACCGCAGCACCGCTATCTACGCCAGTCACAGGCTCTCGTCCTTTTTTTGTTTTGCTGAGTATCCGTTAGGAAACTCAAACCCCACAGAAAAAAGCAAAGCTGCTCCGTAAAGTTGTAAGAGAAGCAGCTTTCATCAGACGAACGTTCCTGGTTGTGCTGGGTGCCAAAACCCCAGACAACTGGGAAGACAGAGGTATGAAACAAACTGTGCAAAGCAGCTCATCACAGTTCACCTGGCGGTGTCACGGGGCACTTCGAACTGGGGAGAAGCTCAGCCACCAAGGTGGAGAGCGTCTCCTGAAGAAACCCAGCATCGTGGGACCCCCTTGGCAGAAACGCCAGCAGGACTGGGGTCACCGGCACAGCTGATGCTTGCAGGGAGGGCTGTACAAATTGTAGTACTCCTGTTAGAGCACCTGGATCAAATCCCACTGCGACTAGTACAAACGCAGAGCCCCACCGGAGTTACTCCAGCCTTGTAACTGTGCAGACCTCAGCCTGGCTTTCCTGGATACCAGAATTCCCCCGGGGCCAGCAGACGCTGGCTGCAGCAGCCCTTATCGCCGGAGAATTTGCTGCCTGTTTCTGCTCGGCCCTCCCCAGCGCCCTGCTCCCACCTTATCCTGTTCCCAGCATGTGTTATTTATTCAGCTGGACACTCCCATCCATGGGAGCAGGCTGGCAATGGCTCCCACCGCGCTGCCGTCGCTCCCCTGGGTCCCTGGTACACAGCTCCCACCCGCCCCAGAAGCTGCCCTGGCCAGCAACCACCACCTTTTGTTTCCAAACCAGAGCTGTTTACTGACAAGAGCCGGATGGTACGAAAGCAGATTGAAGAGGGGTCAGACTCCATTTTAGGCCATGAATCTCCTTAACAAACAGCCATTTCAGAGGGCGGTTTCCCCGTTTTGCTATGTGGGAGAAGCAAAGCAATGTCAGCTGGCTTCTCGCTGGCCTGCCCCCCTCTCTGGGATTGCCTGCCCTGCGGTTGAGCCTCACACGAGTCGGGAAGAAGAGAAAACCACGGCAGCTGCATGGCCAGAGACACCATCCGCTGTCCAGCAGCAGCAAGAACCAGGTGGGAGCCTCTGAAACGCAGGAACACCCAGAGCGAAGAACCTGCCCGTGCACGCTGCCCCTGCCAGGCCTCCGGGCCAACACACGGCTGCTCCTCCTGCTGCCAGCACTCCCCGTCCTCCAGCCTCTCCTTCCCAGGGCCACGGACACTCACGCCATCAAGCCCAACCGACTGCTCCTCGCCACAGCTGCAGAGTCCAGGACCTGCGGGGTCCGTCAGAGCGGCACGTACCCTGCAGCCAAACGTGGCCCCCAGCTCCGCGGCCGTTCTCCGAGCCAGCAGGCAGAGCCCTCACCCCCCATTTCATTCATTTGCCAGCCACAGACCGCACGGCCCAAGTCTGGGGGTGCTGCTGTTAACCCCAGCCAGTGGGCACCCCTCTGCGCGCCTCCCCCACGCTCAGCACAGCGCCGCTGCCCACGGAGGCGCACGTCACTGCGCTCCAGGTTTCCAGGAGGTTTCTCTCTGTCCTTCTGACACGGGCACTGACACTCCATGGAAGTGCTCGGCAAACGCTGCCACCATGATCAGCTTCTGCTCGGTGTTGGCTTCGTGCTTTCACACTCACGAGCTTTTACCCTGTGCTCTATAAATAACATGAGCCAATGCCTTTGGCGGGATAAATTCTCCTCTGTCTTTGGCTTGATCCACGCAATTGGACAAAGCCCTTTTACTTCATAGTATTTGCCCAGAAACAGGAGAATCCTTTAAGCAATTTAAGGCTTGAATGATCAGGACAGGTTGTACAGTTAGTGGAAAGTAAACCCTTGAAAATGCATGCACCGGCTGCACACAGCCCATGAGTGCTGTTCACTATCACAGCCTGGGAGACCATAAAAGTTTAATTGTGTAACAGCGGATGGAATTCAGTTAGCCGGCTTTATGTGACAAACGGGCCCGTAATTCATTACCCAACTTTCCAGTAACGAGCTTCCACATGCTGAATTTCTGCTTACACTGAAACTTTCCAGATGTCCAAATTATGTCATAATTATAACAATTTTCAGTTATTGTAAACCTCTTTCCTCTCTCTGACTCTCCCCGGCAGATGAGCAGGCACACTCCGTCACTCTATTTAAAGCAAGATCGCTAGCTGTCAGGATACCTTGGCCAATCCCGAACACTCATCAGCCCAATTAACCCCCAAGAACTGCTGAGCACAAAGCACGGACGGGGAACCACTCGGATCAGCAGCTCAGCTGCTCCAGGCTTCCTTGGAAAGGCAGGATTGGAGGAACAAACTCCCCATGCATTCCTGACTTTCCTCAGGTCACTTTTCAAGCCTATTTTTAGGGTGACCTTTTAGGGCTGCTTTGGGTATTTCTAGGAGGCAAAAATTCAAACAATTATAATCCACTGGTGACTAAAAGCAGTGAAGCCCTCCTGGGAGAGCAGGTAAACGCCGTTCTTGAGTCAGAGTTATTAATTGGCCGAGGATAAGGTAGAGCATACCTGTAAGGAAATCTGCCCTTTGCTTATTTGTGGTAGATAAAAGAAGCCTGACTGCACCTCTTGCTGCTTGTTGTCTCCCTGAGCAGTATCAGGAAAAGCAATTCCCTTCCCGGGCACACTCAGTATCCTGGGAGATTACATATAACGAGTTTTCAGACCTCAACACAACAGCTGGGATGGGAGAGAAAATGAGAAATCCTTATTATCAAAGACTTCCTTCCTCCAATATTATCCTTAGCTGATGTTTTGCCACAACAGTGTTGCTGCTAAATATCTTAGTGAAAACTAAGCCCAGACTTTTAAGCAGGAAGACTGCAAATCCAGCAGGAAGACAAAAAAGATCATTCTCTCATGTGATCAGGACAAGAGTCTCCAGGGTACATTAGCAAGAAACAGAAAGAAAATATTTTTATTTCTCCAGGTAACGAGAGTCACCAGCTCATTTTTTTTTCTCCTTTCAGGTCACCTTTGCAGGCAGCTTTGCAGCAGACCCACGGACTCCTGGCTCCCAGTCCCCAGGGCTGAGCAGCAGGTAACACCATGAGCACAGCCATGCCTGACAGCCACCTCCACAACGACTACCTTCCTTCAATCAATTTTGCATATTCGGGCCTGTCCCAACTAGTTGCAAAAACCTTTACCCTGAGAACAACCAACTGGGAAATGCCTCAAACTGCATACCAGGCTTTGGGCCAAGGAGGCAAAGGGCTCCCCCTCTCCACCGCAGCCAGCACCCCGGGGCTGGGAGAGAGAGGGGTTAACCCAGAGGAACGCAGGGAGCTGAGCCAAACAGCAACCCAGGAGGAACAGCAGCATCCTCCCGGGCTCCAGCACTCTGCAACAAGAGAACATCTGCCTAAACAAAAGCTCCTTGTGCTGGTGCAGCTTCCTTGCGGGCAGGAGGAGTGCCACAGACCCCGCCTGCTGCAGAGTGGATTTCAAACCCTCACCTGATGCCCCGGGGAGGCGGGCAGCGTCCGTCAGTCCTTCGCTGCACGGGTAGGAGACCCAGGACACGCATTTCTGCCCTTTATTCCGGACTTTCATATACAGTTGGCATCCAGTCCCTCTGTGAGCTGGCCACACTGGCCAAAGGCATTTCGTGTTCCTTGACTCCGCTGCCCTGTCCCCGTGTCTGTGCACCAGCAGCCCTTCAGCACCCACTGGAAACAAGTGGGATGGAGAAGCAGTGAGGCTGCCGCACCCCCAGAGCAGACACTCCAAACTCCGGCTAAGCAGGAGCTGCTGTCTCACCCCCCGGCCATCCTCACCCTTGCTCCTGGACCACCAGGACTCCCCTATGCGCTGCAGGATGCAGGCAGGGCCCCGCAGCTCCCCCTGCAAAGCTCTCTGATCAGCTGCCTGTCAGCGCAGCTAACGGACAGCCTGGAGACGGACAGCCTGGAGATGGGCTGCTGCCACCCTTGTCCCCTGCAGCTGTGCCGCCTCTGCGCTAGCTGAGGGCCTGCGGCAGGGAGCGACGCTCGCGGGATACCAACCAGTAGGAGTTGATGATTTTGCAGAAGGCCAGCTCGCAGCACATCTTCAGGTTGCTCTGATGTTCGGGGAGGTCTGAAGACGAACACTTACTGGGATCCACCTCGCAATTTTCATCGGATTCGTACAGTGCCTTGATAAACTCCCCTGTAAAACAGACAGTCGGTGATGGGTTTTGGAGACATGGGAGACGCAGCCTGCAAGCAATTCTGTTTGTAAGCCCCAGGGCTGAGCAGTTACCCTGCGCCCCGTCACACTGGCTGAACAGAAGCCGGGTACGAGGGCAGGCGACGGTGGCTCCTGGGGCAGGCTGCGCCCCAGCCAGCTCTCCAGATCTCCCAGCGGACCCCGGAGCAGCCGGCAGTGCCTGGGGCGCTCACGAAACAACACAGCACACCCGGCAGAAAGGCACCCGGACTCCCGACCAGCATGTTTCACCCCTCTTCCCCAGTCGGCAGCTCTGCCTCTGTGGCTATGGGCTATTGCATCAGACCTCCACTGCCAAAACACCCGCTTCCTCAGCCTGCCCTGACCCCCCATTACACCAGTTCCAGAGACGCTCCCTCGGGCTAATCCAGTAGGAAGTATGCTGGCAAGTTCTGTAATTATTTGTAGGATGGCCTGCTACTGCAGACTGTGCCCTGGCGCAGTGTGATTCACAAGAGAAATAGGTAATTAAAGGAAAGAAACAATTTACTTGGTTTATTTGGAGCTGAACATCACAGAAAATTCAATTAAAATATTTCTCTGCGTTTCCCTGCACTCCTGTTTGCTGCCTGGCTGCTCCTCACCCTTGCAGAGACTCACGCTGGGGGCCTGCTTTGCCAGCTCCTCGCTTTCGCACCACCTTTCGCCCCAGGGTACCCGGGCACAGACCCCTGCCACCGGGGCTGAGGGTGCTTCCCACCCACCGCTTCGACGCGTGTCCAGCTGGGGGGATGGCAGTCCTCCATCCCAGTTAGCACGCAGCACCGGTGGGGGAGACTGGGGGATAGGTTAACGGGGATTAAGAGGCAGTGTTTAGCTAGGGACCTGCAGGGCCAGGTGACATTCTGGGAGAAAAGTTTGCTTCGGTTTTCTCCTAATTCCAGTTGGTTTGCTCATCTCCTAATTCCTGACAGTCCTGGATTTTCCCATCCTCCTGTTTTTTGCCCGCTCTAGTCTGCATTCCTCCCCTATTGCCAAAACAGATTTTAATTACGTACTGGAGAGGCTCTTCGATGTATTTTCAGCTCTGCCAGGGAGCTCTGGAGCCTCTCTGCTCGCCTGCAGGTGATGGCTGCTGTTACTATCCGGCCCTATTACTTGCTTGTGCTTCACGCTTTAAAGGAAAGCGCTATGCTGTATTGTGTTCCTTGTGACACTCAGATGAATCATTGCCCTGATAAAAGGTCTACACAGAACCAGCGCCCCGAACAGCGAGCGAGAACCGCAGGCTCCTCCTGTACTAGATGGAGCTGGCTTGGCAGCATTTGCATTGAGCCCTGAAAGGGGAGTATTTCAAAATTCTCTGCCTTCATTAATCTCCTGGCTTTTTAGAAATTTTATGAGGTAATCTACTTACAGACTTGCCTTCAACCAGAAAGCATTACAAGGCAGAAATAAATAATATTCCTTTTCCTATTCTTGCGGGCTATCAGTTCGTTTGACTGAATTTGCTCAACGATCTCCCCTTCCTCAACGTTGTCATTATTATTATTATTATCTTAATAAAGTATTTACGCTTCTTTGCTCCTTGCTAAAATTACACAAATCCACTAGTAGGAACCCAACCTACTGAAAAATTAACACCTCAATAGAAACTCTGCTCATGGTACTGCTAGGATGTGGCTCCAACCTCGCCGCCTTTGGCTGAGGTTCAGACTTAACACTTCAAAGGCAGCCTCTCCCCGTCCTCATGCTGCGCTGGCTGCACACAGCAACACAGCAATTCCTTCCTGACCTGCCCAGAAGCAGAAGCTCTAATTATTTGCATTTGCATCAAGAGAAATATTTTTGGAGCCATAAACATAGCCAGCACTTTAAAAAACCACCAGGAGGGTTCCCAGCGCGATCTGGGAGGCAACTTCCATCACTGTAACTTGGGAGATTTCATCTGACTCACTAGCGCTGCGAGGAACCGGGGGAGCGTCTCTGGCGGGGGCGTGCAATCAGGGGAAGGATTCAATCAGCCGCCGTGACACTGCCAGCACCGAGACTGAAGACTTGGCAGGCAGCATAATGCCTTCAAATACCAATTTGTCATCTCCTCTGAAAGCAGATGAAAGCGCTAACTCAGCGGTGACCTTCACCTGGAAGCAGGGAGCTGCCCACTGCGGCCACGGCTGTGCCCTGGGCTCGGACCCTGCCACCAGAGAAACCCTCCGGCAGGTAAGCACTGGTGCCGCTGCAGCCATGAGGGCTCAGCTGATGGTCTCCACCACGCAGAGCACCCTGCGGCTTAGAGGAGGACCTCTCTGGGCGAGACTGGCCAACGCTCTGTACATACCTAAGGCATCTTGCAAGTATTTCTGCCCCACCAGCTTCAGGTATTCTTCGATTGCTTTGGTGGCCAGTGTGTTCTCCCTGAAAATGAGATGCTCATTCTCACCACAGCGATCAACTTCAGACATCATCAGGTCAGTCAAGAAATCCTGGAAAGCAAAGCCCATGGTGGGTCACCACGCACTGACACGCGCTTTGTTCAGCAGAGCAGGCAGCCTCCCCTTCTCCACAGAGGTCTCCCCTTCTCAAGACACAAGAGGGAGCGGAGGTGCTGCGGGTGATCCCGCGTGTGCACGCTGCGTTACTACCAGCCTGACTTCCCTCTTGTTTCTCCAACCTCACAGAGACAAGAGGAGAAATACACCTCTGGAGAGCCACAACTTTTGCACCGCCAAAAGCGATTCATTCCAGACCTGCACGACATCTGCCTCTCCAACAGTGCCGGTTTTCGGCTGGGTCTCGTATCAGCCTCACATTTTGTGGATGAAACATTTTCTTCTCTGTTAAATGTGGCTGCATTTGGTATCTAGCTGCATCGGTTGCAAAACGGGGGCATACTTAGATGTCACGAGCTGCGCCCCACAGTTAACGGCTGAGAATCAAGCCTGTAATATGCATCAAAATGCTCAAATGTCCTATTTCCTTAGTATTTATGGAAATAAACAGCACTGCTACAGCACACATTTTGGGCACATTTTTGGTCTGAAGTGCACACAACCAAATACCATGCAATGTTATAATCCCCTGCGCTGCAGAGCAATGGAAGGGGTGGGCAGGAGCAGACCGCGTGCCCCGTGCATCAGTCTGGGCTACTGAATTGCACATTCTAAGAGAACAACAGCACTTCAGACCGAGCTCCATGCCTGCTTCAGCAACAGCGTTAACTGATCAGAGAGGGTCACGTAGCTCCCCGTGCATTCTGCTGAAAATCCACTACGTGGTGTAATATTTAGTGTGCTGTAGCCAGCACGAATGCAGGAGAAATGCCATGCAGTTTTTAACGCTAATACATATTCAGCCTCTGTTCTCTGCACTGCTAATGGGAAAAGCTTCTCTGGGCCCCTGCCCAGCTCCTCGCTGCGCTGGGTGCTGAAAGGCTCGACCTCTTCCCACCCAGCACCACTCACCTGGAGGACCAAGGGGAACAGGCTGCTGGCACCCTGTAAATCACACGCATTAAACCTCTGACTGTTTCCCCACGCAGGAGACAGAGGAACGTCGACATACAAATTCACTGCCACAACCAAGGGCACCTTTTCTAAACTGCCTTCCTCTAAAACAAAATAATCTGCTCAGTAATAACCTTTCACTGAGAAATTCTCCTTCATTTGTCAGGACCGTACCAGACGCAACCCGTTCCTGGCGGGGGCAGCAGGAGCACCCCAGAGCTGCCATGCAGAGACCCAGGTCCTGTCCTTGCCATCCCCAAGCAAAGCGCAGCTTGCAGAGCCCCCCCAAGCACTGTGGCCACGACCCAGCCTGCTCCCACCCACACTCGGGAGAGGGGACACTCCGGTCCCCTTCCCTGCCGGCGGCTGGCCGGGAGGTTGCAAGACGGGCACTTTGCTCCATTTCATTTCGCACACGGACGTCTCTGCGTTGCAAGTTTAACCAAGGCTCGACAAGCAGCTCCATCTGAGCCCCACGGACCCCAATCATTTAATCCACAGGCCCTTCACTACTGTCCTTCTGTCCCAAAGGAAAATCCAGGCGGCAGGCAGGTACGTCTCCCATCCGAGAACAGGGGAGGAGGGGAGGAAGGCTGGATTCTGCAGCACCCAACCGCCCGATCTCTCCCACTTTCCCACAAGACTGTGACTGGGTCCGACACACTGCTGTGACCTTCCCAGAAGATCCTCCAAAAAAGCCAGAGGAGAAGTTCTGGGGAAAAAAAAAGTCACTTCCACTACTTCTTTAGCCAGAAGATCCCCTTCCTCAGATCCTGCTACGCCTGCAACGCTCCGGCAGCTGCAGAGGCAAAAATCCCTCCTGGAAGCAAAGCACGTGCCTCCCCCCACTATTTTCTCTCATTTTGCCCCTTTTATCAGCCAAGCTGGAATGAAACTTTAAACCCCTGCTCAAATCCCGTTAGCTGCTATCTGGGTAACTCTATCACCTTTATCTTCCTGGGTCTCTCCCAGGGCACGTTTCAATTCCAAGCCACAGCTCAGGCTGACACAAGGTGCTGATTCTTAATTAGCAGCCGCTGACCTTGGCTTTGCTTGATTCTCTTTCCTGTCACTTTCCCAACATACTAATTATCTCAGGAACACTGAGTTTTACAGCTTCTCTTAGCCAAGTGTTTGCTTTTTCCCCCCTCTTGTCGGCCGAGGACTGGCTGCCGTGGGACGCGGGGCCAAGCTGCGATGCACAACCCAACTGCGAGCCAGGGCTGCCGAGCGGCGGAAACCCAGGGGCCAAGTTTGAGCCAGCGATAATGTGAATTTTGATGATTTTAGCTGATCTATGGAACTCACTAGAATTTAAAATGAGGCAAAGTTCCACTGTGGGACTCAACACAAAGCCAAGGAAGATCCCCCTGAAACCTCTGCTGCGGTCGTTATCCCCTACGGAGCACTTGCAGCTCGACAGCCGAGAAAACGACCCCTCGTTGCCGAAGTGGAAAGGAAAGCTGCTGAAATCCCAAAGAGCTCCACTACGGCGCAGCACCCAAAGCTGGGCTGTAACATGGCAGAGTCTGGCCTTGTAACTGACCACGGGCTGGAGGCGAGAGCCAGGATACCCAACAGCATTCCCCAGGCCAGGGCTCCTCACTGTCCCCAGCAGGTCCAGCCTCCCTAGGCTGCAGGAGGCATCTTGCCAGGCTGTATGAACCGGCCCCGAGATGCATCAGGGATCAAAATACCCCCAGCCAGCGTCCTCGAGCAAGTTCCTCTGACAGAGCGCTCTCGGCAGCCCGGCGGAGCTCTGCTAGCTGCGGGAAAGGAGCCTCGTCCGTGGGTCAGTTCCCATGACATCCTGCAGTTTCTGACCCAGGGCCATCTTCCAGTTCTTGCCTTCCCTCCCTACAAAAAAGCCACATCGGCTCTGGATCACACGTCTGGTATCTCTGCCTTAAGTACGCCAGCAGCCAGCACTTGGAAGACACAAATGGAATGCAAATACTCGTCGAATCCCTCCGGGGGCCTCACTCACCCACATACAAGGCTCTGAATAAAATGCAATAACTAAAGCCAATAAAACTCCCTGTTTCTGAGCAGCAGAGATCAGCAGGGGGTTGTTTTCAGTTAGGGCCCCTGGCAATGGAAGAAAATAAGATGCTTTATTTCATTACATCGGAGTTGAGAGGGGAAGGGAAAGGTCTACAGTAAAAATTAAGGGCTGTGGCAGCGTCCTTCAGGCTCACTCCCATGTTTATTTTAAGGATATTTACTTCAGACTGGCCACAGCTGAACCTGTGCAACTTTAGTCACTGCACATATGCTGATAAAGAAGAGCAATTCATAAATAAATAAATTCAGAGCGTGACAGCACAGGCTGCACTGGTTTCCAGCACTTTTCAAATAAACCAAGCATGAGCCCACAGCAGCATGTGCTATTCTAAGGCAGATCCTCCAGCCCTCTAGAAACGCACGCAGGAGTTTCGCTGCCGGAGTGGCAGCCGGGTGCCCGCAGCAGGCACAGTCCCCAGCGCCACCCCGGGCTCCCACACACCACCACAAAGTGCTCCCAGTGCTGCAGCTTCCCCTCTGCCTGGGATGCCGGCGCGGCTCTGCAGCTCAGCTCCTCACATCATCCCCAGCCACAGCACCCTCTGGATGGCCGTCCCAGGAGCTGTCCCGGGAGCCGTCCCCTGGGTCTTCACCCGCTGAGCTTCAGCTGCGGCTCCCCCTGCCCCACCTGGGTGAATTCATCCTCCTGTCTCAAACCACAACCAAACAGCATCTTCTCGTGGGTGAGGAAGTGTCTCCTAACCCCTGCCTCGCCCCTCGCACACGAGTCAGTCATCTCGCAGCAGGACCGCTTCACGCTGCCACGGAGGAGCCCCCAAAGCTCTGCCTGGGGAAGCTGGAAGGAGAATCTGGAAACAGGGGTGATGCCCTGGAAAGGAGCGTGCTGCAGCCCTGCCCCACTCCGCCTGACGGCCCCGCAGGCAGCCCCTG